CAATTGGTATCAGAGCAGGTCTCACACTTTTGCTTAACCACTTCTGAGAAAAAATCATGGCCAATCAAATAACTATTGGAGCACTCTTTCAAGAGGTAACGTCACAAGTCAGGCCGCCATATTTCAATGGACAACACTTTTCTCACTGGAAAGTGCGAATGGAAATCTATGCAAAATCTTATGATGTGAAAGTATGGCGTGTTATCACAAAAAGAAACTATCCACTACCAGCAGCAACTCAACCACCCGTTGATCCTGAAGATATAGATGAATACACAAACGAACAAATGACAGTCATTCAGGTTACTGTTAAGTCACAAAACCTAATGTATAACGCTATAAGTGAAGAAGAGTATGAGAAGTTTTTAAGCTGTGATACGGTTAAAGAAATGTGGGACAAATTGGAGGTCACCTATGAAGGAACCAGCAAAGTGGAAGAAACTCGGATAAACATGTTGGTTCATGACTATGAACTCTTCCTGATGAAAGAAGGAGAATCCATTGAGGAAATGTTTGCAAGATTCAGCAAAAATCATTAGCGATCTGAAAGCTTTTGATAAACCCTATTCAAGTGGTGATCAAGTTCGAAAAATACTAAGGAGTTTACCTACCACTTGGCAAACGAAAGTAGTTACACTTGAATCTCAAGATCTAAACAAACTTTCATATGATGAACTCAGAGGAGATCTTATAGCATTCGAGAAAACCCATCTCAAGAAGACAAGTCAGGAAGAAAAGAAGAAAATGGTTGCCTTCAAATCTATAACTGAAGGACCTGAAAATGATATTGATGATGATCCAGAAGTCCTTAAAGAAGAAATTTCTATGGTATCAAGAAACATGGATGGGTTAATGAGAAGGTATAGAAATACAAGAAGGGGAAGGATGCCATCTAGGTGAACCAGGCAATACAATGAACAAGACAAAAATGATGGAAAGCATTATGAGTGTGGAAGATATGAGCATGTTCAAGCTGCATACCTAGATCGTAAAAGAAAAGTCTCCAGAGGGTTTAACAAACACAAATCCAACGGAAGTTGGAGTGATGAAGATAGTTCAGAACACGAAGAAATAGAAAATCTATGCTTCATGACCATCCTGGAAAATGACATGAACAAATACTCTGGCTCCTGGACTGATGAAGATACATCAGGCGATAAATGCAAGGAAAATACTGAAAACTGTTTCATGGCACGAGGTGAAACAAGCAAGGTAAGATCTTATAATTGTGATAGATGTAATGAATTGCAGGATATTCTTGACCTTACTCTAAAAGAGTCTAAAAAAATATTGAATGAATTAAGGAGACTCAATAGGGAAAGGAAAAACTGGGAACTTAAGCTTGAAGTCTGTGAAATCGAAAGAGATGTACTTCAAGATGAAGTTCAGTAATTGCAAATGCAACTAAATGGCATGCAAAAATCCACCAGTCATAGTTCAGTCAAGTCTAACCAGGTGACTTACAAGTCAATAGAAAAAGGACTGGCTAGAGTTGAGTCCACAGGTACTAACACAAGTGGTAGATCAAAAACTGGATCAACCCCTATGTGTCATTACTATAGCAAAATTGGACACAAATATTCCTTTTGTCGATTTCGTAAATCTAATGTTTCAGGATGGTTTTGGAAACCCAAAAACAATCTTGATCCTA